GAGGGTGCAGCATTTGGGGGGTACACTGACCCCAGTCCTGAAAAGGGGAGTAAAGAATTGAAGGCCAGGTAAGGCTGAGGCTGCCTGGGCCCAGAAAGGGGTTTGAGACCTTGAGGAAGAGATTTGGGGCCAAGTACAGCTATGGCCACCAAAGCCCCAAAGCGAGGGGGCAGCGTGGGGAGCACCAAAGCAAGAATGGAACAGACCTGAACAACATCAGGTACATCTGTGAGGCTTGGGTTACAGTGTAAGGGGAGGAAAGGAGCTGCAGATAGTGCCCCAGGCATCAAGACAGAAAATGGGCAGCCTCCTGCTTGATTTAATATCCTCTAACTAAGCAAGTAACAACAAGGCATGGCAGATGAGAAGGTGGGCAGTTGGCCCATAATTGGTTTGGCGGGGTCACTAATGGGCAGACCCCAAAGAGGCACACCTGTCGCACCATGCTACCATAGGGAGATTAACGCACAGGCTGGTGGAGCCTGGGTCCAGGGGCCTCTGGGTGCCTGGATTCTAGTAGAAAATGACAGGTTTCCCTTTGCAGGTGAGCAGCACTCTAACCTGCAAGGGGTCCTGCTTGAGGGGTACTGGGAGTGAGACACAGGGGGTGTCGCGTGCCTGTGCATGGCCACTTGCATGAACATGGCCTGGAACACTTACCCTGCAGGTAAGTTTGTGGTGGGGGCAGATCAAGGCTGCCATGGTGAGGGAGGGAGTGGGGCAGGGACAGGGGCTGGGATTGCTGCCCAGCCAAGGCGGTGTATGGGACCTAGGGCCAGGGTGGGGAGTGGGACGAAGCCATGGCTGGCTTGTCCAGTGGGCATGGGGGGGAGGGGTGGCTTTCCACCACCATGCGCACTCTCACATGGAGGCAGAGCATGTGTCCTCCTGAATTTGTGGGCTGGGTGGATGTGGGTTGCTCACTGTGGGCTTGGGGCTCCACTCCGCAGCCTTTCCCTCAGGAGCCCCATGCAAGCCTCGTGCCCCTTGCTGCCTCTGCTTCTGGGTGGGCAAGTTGTGCCTCCTGCTGCCAGTCAGGCAGGGGATGTGTGGCCAGTGCGGAGTCCCTGGAGCAAAGGTCTCAGGGCAGAGAGTCCCAAGCCCACAGTAGGCATCCCAGATCCACTGTTGCCCTGCTTGGCTCTACTCCAGCCTGGGGGGGAGGAGTGAAGAAGGGGGCTGGCAGGGAGCAAGGAAGAGTGGTGGGCATTTGTCACACCACCCCCAGCCTGGCCAAGTCCATCCAGCCACCCTGGTGGGGCATCAAGGCCCTTGGCAGTGTTGGCACCAGGAGGGGAAGGGGCCCAAAAAATCTTAATCCACCACTACATACTGCTCAGTCCCAACTCCTAGCCCACTTGGATTCCAGGCTGGGCTCTCCTTCCATGCACACATGCATGTACATGCTGATGCCTCTCAGCTGTAACCTGCACCCCTGTCCCAGCCTGTGGTCCACCTGTTTCCCCCACTTTCCCCACAAATTCACTGTTGGTGAATTTCTGCAACAGGGCAAGGCTGGAACACCACACCTTGCCTGTGGGGGTCCATCCATGGGCCATGTCAATAACCATGCCATGTACCCCCCAGAATTGTCACGGCTTCAGACCTTGATGATTCACTAATGTGTTCTGTTCATCTGAATCCATAATTCTGTGTTTCCTGTTATGACTAAAGTTATTAACATCAGCTCTGGGCAGGGACAGACTCATATACAGGCTAACTAGAGCCTCACAGTGGCTATGAAAGAGTACCTTATCCTAAGGCCAATGGAAATTTCCTCACCAAAAATCTGGGGAAATCTGGGATTCAGTCTTACAAGGAGAAGCATGAAGAAGCAGGCTGTAGGTTTAAGAGCACTAGCCAAGTAAAGACCAGCGGGAAATGCCACATATGGCCTGCATTGTATTAGGAAATTGAATGTGTGAATGGAATCTCAAACAGCCTTAGCTCTGACCCTTCTGATCACAGCCCTCATCTTGCCCACATGTGGTGGCCCAATTCTCAGTTACCCAGCTCTGACACTTACAGGAGCCTTAGGAAAGATGCCAATATAGGTCAGAAAGGGCTGAAGGTACTGTTGTGCATGGGACAAGGAAGTGCTGTTCCCTGATCACCCTCAGAGTTTGGGGGGTTGTGACTGACAATAACTGTGGGAGAGTTGAAGCAGGCCCCCAGCTCTTTGGCAAGATTGCCTAGCAGACCTGAATGAGACATTACCTGTAGATGAAGAGGTACATCTCCTTGTAGCTTTCCTGGCCCAGGGGCTTGCTCCTTTCATAAGAATAGGCATCCATTGTCATGCTACAGGGGACACAAGGGAGAAGTGAAAGGAGCAGTGGGCACTCTTCCTTTACCTGACATTAGCAACAGGATGAGATAGTCAGGCCTTGTGTATGGGCCACTCCAGCTACCCAGCCAGCATCGTCCAGTGCCTGCCCCACTCAGCCCCAGCCTACTCTCCTTGGCTATTTTGTGTGGGGTCATGAGGACCAGGGCACCTTCACTGTTTTCCATCAGACTGAAGCCAGCCCCTAGGCAAAACAGTAAGAAGCCTCTCTATGGATAGCAATTTGCCTTGCCTAAGTTTGAGCAGAGGGCAGGTGGAGTCATTCTCAAGACCCAGGTATTTCTGGGTTCTCCGGAGTTGCCTTTTCCACCTGCAGTGATTCCATCTGCATCAATGCAGGAGTGGAGGATGGGCAAACTCAAGTGCAGGCTTACAAATCACAGGTCTTTAAAGTCACTAGAGGTTGGGATGGACCTCCTGGCTTGGGGGTCTGTCTCTACCTCCTGAGATTGGCCAAATGAAACACCCTACAAACCAGCCAGTCCACAGTGCTCCTTTACACTGTTCTCACTATGTGGCACCTGATCATCTCTGCTAGGCAGGCTCCCTTGCTCTTGCCTAAGCAGTCTGATGCTTTGTGGGAGCCCCAGCCATGCCTGGTGCCAGTTGATGACTTGTATACCATGAATCCCTTCCTCAGGAAACCTCCATATTCTGGAAATGCTCAGCCCAGTGCTCTTTGCCCAGAAGGTTCCACTTCTGGAACGCATGGGATCTGCTGGTAGCCTGAGGGAGCACAGCTGGCAGGAGGACCCTTCAATTTTGGGGAAGTAAGTGGCTGAGGGGGTATATGATAGAGGTCTGTAAAATCATGAAGTGTGTGTGGACCAAGTGAACTTCACCAGGTGTTCTTCACCAAGTCCCAGAACATTAGAACTAGGAGGCAGCCACAGAAATTAGTAGGAGACAGATTTATACAATGTGTATTTAACTTATGGAAATCATTGCCACAGGAGGTGGTGGAGGCAGGTAGCATAGACTAATTGAAGAAGGGACTAGACAAATTCATAGATAACAGATCTAATCTATTAACAGCTGTTTTGGGGTCATAAAATGGGTTGACATCAGTGGTGAACTCCAGTGGTGACAGCGACCTCCAGTTGTTGCCAATTGATGTAACTACATTCCCTATAATACCCTTCACTCAGTGACACATGCTACTGCACCAACTGGGCAGGAGTTGGAATATGGAGCTGGGGATGGGAGGGTGAGGCATCTTCTCCATTCCTTTCTGGTGCCCCCCCACTTAGGCAGCACCTAGGGCTTGTTCCCACCTCACCCACCCATTCTCACATTACTGGTTTTGGGTCTGTACCTGTGGTCCAGGGGCCATGTTCTCACCAAGTTACCTGTTGAGCTGGTCCATGAGCTTTGTCACAGCACTGAGATCAGAGTCCCGCACCTCCTGCACCAGGGCAATATCGTACCTAGACAGGATCTGTGGATGATGGCAGAAGCTCTCAGCAGGTGATGTGGCTTAGATCAGGTGTGGGCAATTATTTCAGGTGGAGGGCTGCTTACTGAGTTTTGGCAAGCCATCAAGGGCTACATGACAGGCAGCCTGGGGCAGATAAAAAAAATATTTAAATTTGGGGGGGCCCCACAGCCTGGATAGAATGGCCTGGTGCTCTGCATCCAACCCATGGGCTGCATTTGCCCACCCTGGCTTAGGTTAGACAGCTGGCTGGGATGGCTTGAGGCTCAAAGTGAGAGACTGCATGTTCAGGGGACAAGCACCACAACAACACTCGGTGGTACAGCAATCGGCTTCCTCCCAACCCAAACACAGCCTGTTTGCTAGCAGTGGTGCTGAGAGCCCCAGCCAGGGACAAATCACCAGGCTATCTCCATCACAACAGATAAATTGATGCACATTCAATGAGAGAGCCTCGGGGAAGGACTAGTAACTCCATGGAGTGTAGAAAGAGGCTCAGTTCCCCACTCTGATAACTGGAAGATCAGAGCAGTGGTTGACACTTGTCCCTGCTAATTTTGCTAAAGGGTAAAGGCATTATCTCACAGAGGAGAACACCAAGGCTCTGTGGGGAAGGGACACACTGGAGGTCACCCATCAGGGCAGTTCCAGAGCCTGAGTGCTGAGTGTCCTGTGACAGTGCCCCCTGTGAGCTGAGAGACAAGAATCTTCCATGCATCAGCCACTGTGATGTTTTCCCAACCCCTGGTCCCAGACTCCAGAACTCAGTCTGAGCTGACCAGAAGGAAATCCAGGACACTGCTTTCCTTCCCCATCCCCATCCCAGCTAAGTCAGCAGTGCTGCTGCAGGCAGAGACAGGGCAATATGTGGCACACCATGCTGCTCTGCCTCTGCCAGACTGCATTCTGCACCTCTGTGTTTCTGGGATGGTCATTTTAATTCTCAACAGACAGCGAGGACCAGCCTCCAAAATCTAGAACTGTCTCAGCTAAACCAGGACATATGGGTCACCCAGGCATGATCAGAGTAAGGGCTCAGGTCCTGGGTCAGATCAAAGAGCAGCTGCCAGCCCAGCATACAGGGGAGTTCAGACCACCGAGCTCAGGAGTTGGGTTCTTCCAATCACAGGGATATGGAGCCAAACCCAGGTCTGGGACAGGGGCTGTGGGCACCTTTCTGGCTGCCTCCATTCAGTAAAGAGTCCCTTTCTGGGGTTCCTCCCTGGCAAGGACAGAAGTGCCTCCAGGGCATGAATGCTGGGTTAGCTGCCTCCCCTTTCCAGAGGGGAGGCAGTGAAGTGCCTGCCATAGGTAAGTGCTGACAGGTGACCCTCAGACAGAACACATCTACCCCTGATCTGCTCGGTCTTGTCACCTTAATATTTAGTGCCATTTTGATTTGCCTCTTGCTGGTATCAGGCTATACTGTGACACCAAGATGAATCCATAGACATGCTCCCATCTAGATCGGGAGAACTTTCCCAGGCCATCAACCTCTCCCCCTTGAACCCTGAGTGGGGCCACTTTTTTCAGTTAAACACCTGCATAAACCTTTGCTAGCTGTCATAGAGGTTATTGAGCTGGCTCAATACTGGGCACAGACCATGCCTTGGCCCCAACTCCTAAAAGCAGTAAGCATTGGCACAGTGGCCAGCAGCACTTACATTGATGATAATATCTGCAGCAGTGTCATTGGATAGCTTGCTGTCTCCAAATGCCTGGATGTTGAAAGCACTGATCCTCAGTGTGGCAGCCATGTGCAGCAGGGAAGCCACAGACAGCAATGGTAGCATCAGCTTCCTGGCATCCATTCTGCAGGGAAAAGGGAAACTGAAGTCTGCAGCATGGGGCTGAAAAGTAGCAGGAGCAGCCCTGGCAGAGGAGGCTGCATCCTAGTGGCACTGCTGGGGTGAGGCAGATGGACCATGTGATTTGCTCACAATACAGTTCCAGCACCTCAGCATCAGGCCTAGCTGTGGATTGTTCTGCCTTGTGAAACTGCTTCCAATATGGGAAACAGGGAAGCAAATGAATTTCATTAAACATCAGCTGTCGGGGGGAGAGAAGGACCCTGATTTCCTTCAGGAAGGCCTGTTACTGATCCCGCAGCAAGAGTCCCCAGTGTCTGCTGCCCAGGCTTCAATGGGCATTCCCACCTGCAGTTTTGCTTGAAGGTACTGGAATCCTGTGTGTCCTGTGCTGTGCTACCCCAATGGGGAATGTATACAACAGGAACAGAAGGAGGGTGATTAGTTTGAACCTTGCAAGGAGCCGACCCTACAAATGGACCTGTATTCTCCAACAATGCTTGCTGAGCCCACCACTTCCAGCAGTGACTATGAGCAGAAAGCTACTCAACCACTGAGTAGGAGTTATTTTCTTACCCCCTGGGGCATGTAAGTGCCCCCATTCTAGAAAGAGATACCTGTGTGTCTCCAGAGCAAATCCTATTCCTATGATGAGGACACTTGCACACTTAGAGGGGTAATAGCATCACTCCTACACAACAATATGCTAACTCAGGGCCAGACTCTGTTCCACCTGTTAGATACATAAGTGATTTGGCTTTCCTGAAGGGTTGTGACATGTGCTTTAATTAACCCTTCAGGACTTTAATTCTACCCTGCTCAAGTAGTTGAAAATCCATGAATGCATGAAATCTTGTAACGCACAGTCATCTGATCCTTCAGACTGTGTCACAAAAATGCAGGGAGGAAAAGAGGAATCCACCCATCATTTGCATTAACTGTTTTTCATAGACTGGAGCTAGATGGAGTACACTGAGGTACCCAAATTAATTTATGTGCCTAATAAGTAGAAGAGAATCTGGCCCTTAGACTTAGTCCCAGACTGTGCTCTGGTCATCCACTAGGTGAAACAGAATTCTGCCCTATACATCTGGGGATGGCTTCTCTACCCCACCCCCCTAAAATGGCAGCACAGAAGCACTTAGCAGCATGGCCATCACTTATCAATGCCCATATGCCCTATCCTCACCACGGACAGTCATGGCAGGTTATGGGGAAATGCAAAGCAGTGTCTGACTGAGCAAACCAGCAAGTGACACCAGAATCTGGAAATCAGGGTTCAGAGTGGATTTCCCTTGCTAGCCCGTTGTAGGGGGCTTGAGCAGTGGGCAGACAGACAAGCCTCAGATGGCCCTGATATCCTGGGGGGCCTGACTGCCAGCTGCCTAAGTGCCCCCATCTGGCTCAAATGTTTGGATGTTGCTGCTGCATATAAGCAGTATCCCTTGTAATGCTCTTAGTGCTCCTGATGCTGAGTCTTGGGTTCCTGCTCCCAGTTTGGTCCTTGATTCCTGGCCCTGGTTCCTGATTTCTGGTTCTGAGTTTCCTAATCTGGTTCCTGATGTTTTGTTCCCTGTTATCTGATCTGGTTCCTGCTATTCCTCTAGCTCCTAACCTGCAGCTCCTACCTAAATTCTTGCCTAACTGCTACCTGCACATTTGCCTAGCCTTAACCCCTTTACCTAACTCCTAGTCCCCAGATCCTGCTTACCTCTTTGTGCTTGAACTCCATGGTAATGTGACCCTTGACTCTTGGACATCCCAGGCTTGTACCATTACCCCTGACCCCCCACATCTGGATCATACCTATGACACCTGCTATCTGAAGGTGCACTTCCCTCATGCTGTTAATTAAAGCACGTGTCACAACCTCTCAGAAGATCAGTCTTTATCTCTATCCCTTATTTCCATAGAGACACTGAGAAGGGAAGGGGCTTGCCAAAGGTCACACAGCAAATCAATGACAGATGGAAAAAGAACCCAGGAGTCCTGATTCCTGTTCATCTATCTTAACTACCTACAACACTCTCTAAACTACCACAAGATGTGGGAAATCTATTCCTCAAGGCCCCTTCACAACTCTGCACTCCAGAGGGAACACATAAAGGCATCCCACTGAAGGCAATGACTCTCAGTAACTGCCTTAGGCCTTGAGGCTGAGGTGCTAATATGAATTGGGGCCCAAAAGAGAAGGGAAGCTGGGACAAGGCTTCCAGCCTGCACACCCTTCCTGAGCTATGATCTATGCATACTAGTGCTTAGGGAACTAGATCTGGAGCTGAGATCTGCCACTTTGTCCCATCTCTGCTGACCACCATGGAGAAGCCAATGCACCTCCTTCAGGGTTAGTGTTCTGTACAAGGCATCTGTTACAAGGCTCAAGGCTGAAATGCTCTCCATGCTCCTACCATTTCCCCCTTCTTTCCACACAGTCACTTCCCTGAGCTCTGTGCCATGCCCATTCCTTACATCAGGGAGGGTGCACCAGGGCCCATGGCACCTCTTTGAGCGTGTAGCAGCATTGTTATACCAGACCCATTCTGAGAGCTGAGCATGATTTTACCATTCCTTGCAGCCCTCTATCAGCCCCTGCACTAAGAGCAATCAGTCTGACATGACATTACCATTCTTAGGGAACTTGAATAATAGCTTTCCCATGCAGCCATTTTCCCTGGGGGAATAGATTTCTACAGAGTTTATGTTGGATATCACGGATGTCTGCAATGGTCCTTGTGTCCCTTGTAAAAGGTAAATAGTTTCCAGCTATGGAGGAGTTCAGCTAAGGAGAACAATCTGATTTCTCCTAGTGTATCTGATCCTCTGATTTGTTAGTGACCTGCAGCAGCATCTGGAAGGAACCGCAAGGTGGAGGTTATAGAGAGTGAATGCACCATTTCTGCTATAAAACCACTCCCTCCAGTTCCCTCCATAGGCTTGCAGGCAGTTTGAAAGGCAGCACTGACAGAATGACTCTGCTTGAAGATCTGAGGCATCTCCATGGAACTTGGCTACTCTAGCAAAGGCCCTTGATATATGGTCTCCACTTCTGGCCAGCTTGGGAGCTTGCTGTCATTTGGCTTGTGCCTATTCAAGGATGTGAATCTCATAACCAGATTCCTCTTGGTATTTTGTGCCCAAATTCTCCTGATCTGGTACTGCCCATGGAGAATAGGACACATCCTACTGCTGATTAGTCTATGCCCAGATAGCACCATTTTTCTCCTTCTTTCAAACACTCTGAGACCTCCAAGTTCCATGGAGGATTCCTGCAGTAACACACCAGGTCCTGTTGTTTGCCTGGGCTGCATGGCTCTCTTTTTATCTGCAAGGGTCCAAACCTGAATGGCATTTAAGCACCTAAATCCCTTAGATGGTGTGAACCTCAGCTGGTCGGGGCAGGGATTCCTTTCTTTGACACATGTTAATTACTCCAAGGTCCTGTACACACCTATATTAGTCTGTGCACAATAATGACAGCCCTGTCACACCCAGTGAGATATGCCCAATCCCTCCTGGCATATTTTGCTTTTGATGTTTGCTCTCAGCCAATCCATGGGCAGTAAGGGTGCATGGGACTGTCTTGTAACCTATCCCTAGTCTCTTTTAAGTTCCCACCAGGTGAATCTCCATTATTCCCTCAATACTTCTTTCACATTTTAATTCCTGACACCATGTCTCTGGTGTGCTGTTTTTCTTAGTGCCTCTTGCCATCTCCAGTACTCAACCTATATAATGGACCCACAGCAATTCTACCTTGCTCGTCTCTTAACTGATTACAAATCTTGCCTGACTTAAACTTCTGTCCCCTCTCTGCCTTTCAGACCTTTCCAGTAGAATCCATGTCCCTCGCTGGCTGTCTTAAATCAATCTGCCTTTCCCTGCCTGCTTCCCAAAAGGCCCAAGGTGATGCTGACAAGCCCCTACCCTCCCCCCATGCCTGACTATTTCTAGTTCTTCTAGCTTTGCAGCAGGTACCTCTGGCATTTATTTCTGTGTGATTAAAAACTGCAACAATAATCTTCAGACTTTAAATTATGTAGATCAGCCTCTGAACAAACACTAGTTACATTAATTGACAGCCCAGCACCAAGTTAAAAAATCATTTGGATAATTGTATGCTTCAGAATGTAAAACCTAGATGCATGCATTGAGAAACATGGTGAGCTCTTACTGTGAGTTGAGTTTCCAGCTGAAGGGACAGGTCTGAGGACCTGGACAAGGCAGCTCTGCCCTCCTGAACTCAGCAGATGTTCTCTTGGTCTCTGACTGCCTCCCTGGAAATACAAACAAGGAGGTTAGGCAGAATGAAATGGACACCTCAGTGCATGCTATAGCGCCTGACTGGAGCTCCTTCAGATTTATGGAAATATACATCCATCCCTTGGGAGGGGCCACTGTAATAAGCATCTGAACACAGATTTTAATAAAGAGCTCAAGGGAAAAACATAGATATTGCATAAGTGGGAGTAACTAACCCATCTCAGGGGTGGCAGTCAAACAGGTATCCAACACACAACTATTGCAATGTGCAGACACTTATCCCAGTGGAGTGGGAGAGACCAAATTGCTCATGATGTGTATCACAGTATGGGGGCAACACGAGCCCCACATGCTGCCATCTTTCCAGATCTAAGAGAAAGGGTCCCAAACTATTGTCTCAGGGTTTTCGGATAAGCCTCAATCCAAATAGACAAAGAGGAGGAGAGAAGTTCTGGAATCAAAAAAACTAAGGATCTTGAGCAGCAACAGATGGGAAATACAAGTATTAATGTACTAATGTATCTCAGCACTGCAGCCAGGGTGCTGGGGAGATGCTTTTGGTTGGCCATACCAAGGCTCTATGGTATAACAATAAAGAGTATGGTGAGAAACTCTCTGAGTGAAGATGTAGGGAATGGAAAACAAAGGAGCCACTTGCCATTAAGTTGGGATGTGAATGAAAAAAAAGCCTTTCCAGACCACATCTGATGAAAGACCAAACCACAGAACACGTAGTATAGGTGGGATTTTAACTCCCACTATGTGCTAGGAAACAAAGCCAGGCCCATAAGGACAGCTAGGTAGGTTATTTTTCTTTAACAGTGTCAAAGCAAATCATTTCTTAGCTTTACAAAGGCCCAGCCCCTGATCACTATGGCAAAGAATGTGCAAAGACATTTGCCATTTGAAAAGGCATGAGAACGTCAAAAGGTAAAACTTATTAAAAGTGATTCAGCCTTCAGAGTCCTCTTGTAAAGTAAGGGATAATTAGAAGGAAACCAAGGATGTTAGGGAGTGATTACCTTCTCCAGTTTAGTCAGGCTGATCTAGCTGTATCACTATTACCCCATCTCAGAAATGATTCATCAGGAACTCAGCTAACAAATGCCCAGAAATAACTTCTCCAATCCTGCTCAGCCAGGGAGGCCAGTTTCAACAACAAGAAGCCATGCTCCTATGCAGAAATATAACAATATTGACAAAGAACTCCATCAACTTTTTAAAAATATTGGTGATGAGCTGTTAAATCCATGTTCTTTAAATGAACTCTGCCAAGACCTCAAGGCTCAGTCAATGGGCATTTGTAGATGACACATTAAAGTGGGTTAAATGCCCTTTTGCACCGCTTTAATGGTGTTGTTGTTTGCACAAGTCTGCAAATTCAGCGGTGTATTATGGGTTAATTTCAGCTGCTGTAGCAAATTCGGTACTATAATGCACTTACATGACTTAGTGGCACAGCAAATGACTTTGGGGCAGAGCAAACTAAAACACCTCCAAGGACTTTTAGTTTGCTACCTTACAGCCACAGAGCGAATCACCAGGCCCCGTGGGGCTCTGGGGCTCTGTGGGCCACCTCAGCAGGCAGCCTAGCAGCAGTCCAGGAAGGCAGGCTGCACTAAAGGGAAAAAAAAAAAGGCTGTGAGCCTGATCTTTTTTTTCCCCTTCCCCAGACCTTGCCTTCCTGCCTGAGCTGCACAGTGGCCTCGTGCTCCCTCCGCAGTTGCAGTGTCCCCCGGAACTGCCTGAGTTGGGTGCCGCCTTGGGGGGCCGCTGATGCCACAGAAGGAAGCACCAGCTGCCCCTACCCTGCAGCTCAGGGACCACTTGGCCTGCTGGCAGCTCGCTCTCCCCTCCCTGCCGCCAGAAAGGCAGGTAAGAACATGGGGGTACATGACATGGGGGTTTACTTCTCCCTAAATTGAAGTGGTGTTTTTAAAAAACCACTGCTTCAATTTAGGGAGAATTAAACCCCTGTGTCATCTACAAATGCCCATCATTATTAGCTCTTGAGGTTCTAGAATGAGTTTTTTGGTGTTTTGCTTTTCTAGCCAGCTCCTACAGTCAGTTGATTATGGGAGAATCTGAACTTGCATTAAGAAAAGCCTCATAATTGCAGAGAATTTCAAAATCGGAAGACTCAGAAATTATAACACAAAGATCCCATAAATTAGAGGTTTTAAAGAAAATCACATTATTTTAGGGGCTTGATTTATGATTTATTAACATTTAGGAGTGGCAATACTAGTCAGTCTTAGCCAGAGCTTGTTAGGTAGTCCTGCACACCAGGGATAGCATTCTATGTTTTTCTAGTCATCCAAAAGGCAGCTTTTTGGTTATCTACATGGCATTTCTGGTGCTTACAGGTAGGTAGGCATTCTATTTCTGCCAATGTGAACATATAGCACTCATGTGTATGGATGTGCACAGACTGGACATCTGACTAGGCTACACACTGGCATCGCATATACTCAGCTAGGTGCGCACACCCTTTATGAATGGATAGCATTGTGTAAGGTCCAAAACTGTAGTCAGTCTAATAACCACAACTATGATGGAGAAGAAAGAGGGCCATGCAGTGTTTTAGCCATAACAGCTGAGTGGCTAGGAGCCCTCTTAACCCAGAAGGGAGTTGAACTTGTATTATTCAGATTTCCTGGTATAGTACTTGAACTACCACACCATAGGGAAGGCATTATTCAAAGCCTTCTCTGGCATTCCCTTTGAAGTTGGCTCTCTGGGCAACCATAAAAAGAAGATATATGGGGCCAGGAAGAAAAGAACAAGTATGAATGTGTGTAGCTCAATGAGGTGGCTGCTTGCCTGGAAGGGATGGGATGTAGATCCATTCTCGCAGTAGGGTAGAAACTTCCCTTCCATCCGTTTTTTCCAGTGTAGCAAAACTCCCAGGTTTTCCTTTTTTTATTTAAAAATACATTCCCTCCCCTTCCCCAACCATTTCTGACATTCTCTCTGCCCTCTCTATCCTTTACAAATACTTATAAGTAGTCATAGATAAACTAAATTCTTGTATGCCATTATTATGACATGCCCCTTTTTATATTGTAAATAGTGTTCTGTTATTTTTGTATTCATTTTTACTGTTTTATATTGTATTCCTATTATGTTTGTATTGATTTTTACTGTTTTATATCGATATTGTATGATTTAGGCCTGTTCCTGTAAGTTAACCAAAGTAATGTCAACCCTCCATCTTGTAATGTCATGTCTCCACTTTGTGTCTACTGGGAATACCCTATTGTAACCGTGTTGCAACTATGACTCCTACCTACCCCTCCTATGTAAATTGGTTTCTGGGTGAATGAGGATGAATGAGGGTGCTTGAGACATAATGGTAGCAGGCCTAAAAATAGCTTGTGCTCCACGACCAGACCATCAGGTCAATGACTGGACCATCTGCTCAACAACCAGACCACTGCCTTGCTTTGACTGTCCCTGAAACCACAGACCTACTCCCAGGACCCAATATTTGAAAGATAAAGACCCTCCTAAAAACCAGCAACATAGAAACAAAGAACAGAATAGAAACCAGAAATTCCATTATTGTATACCACGGGACAATGAGGACACCTAGAACTGCATGACCTCATCTGAACAGGACAGGCCCTTGCCTGGGCATGTTCTGCCCATTGGAGTCACAGGTAGCCCACCCCTAGAATAGGTGTGGTAGAGTGTAACCTCCTTGGGACGCCTTCTCCATCTGGAACACTACCACCTATTCACCCAGAGCCCCTGCTGGTGACCCCCTCTGGAAAACACCTTGCTGGAGAAGACCCCAACTGCCCATTGAGGATCAACTCACAGCCCAGATACATAGCTATCACCCACCTTCTTCCCCCAAGCAAGGGACCTGAACTCTGTCTTTGCACACCTGGACCTCAAATCCCTCCATTAAGTCCTTTCTCTCCTGCTACCATTGTGTGGGTGTGCATGAGAGAGTGTTTGTGTGTGTGTGTGAACCAATAACTTTGTGGGGCTGTATAGTGTGTTGCCTGTTTAATAAAACTGTTATTTTGGAACCCTGAATTGGGTTTTTGTCTTGCTGACCTCCTGGCCCTGCTCCAATCTGTGTTCTTCGCCCCTCTGACCTTCGTTCTGTCTCTTTCTCTCTGTCATCTTGTCTGCTTCCCTGCCGCCTCTGACCTCCAACACCCCTGTCTCTCTCTTCTCCCTCCTAGTTTAAACTACGACTCTGCTCTCCTCCAAACCCTGGCTTTCACTGCCCCTCACCTCCACTCCACCTCCCGGCTTCTGCCTTTTTATCTTCTGGCTAGCTGCTTTCCTGATCTCCCCCGTCTTTGCTTCCTCCACCACCCTCTGCTTCACCTGCTCTGCTGTCTCCTGGCTTTCTCCCTCTCTCTCAGCTGCCGCCTGGCTTTCTCCCCCATTTCTGCCACTTCCCGGCTTTCTCCTCCTACCTCTGCCTCACCTCTGCCCCAGCTTTCTTCCGAGCTTTCTGCCCTGACCTCTGCTTCACCTCTGCCCCGGCTTTCATAGTTTCATAGTTTCACCCTGGCTTTCTCCCCCGTCTCTGTCGCTTCTCTAGCTTTCTCCCTGTCTCTGCCATTCCCAGCTTTCTCCCCAATCTTCTGCTCCACCACTGCCCCAGTTTCTCCCCTGACCTCTCCTCTGCCTCCTCTGGCTACCTCCACCATCCGGTTCCCTCTGTCACCCAGCTTTCTCCCTCAGCCTCTGCTCTGCCTCACCGCCCCTTACCTTCACTGCTTCTTCCCGTTCCTCCCAGCTGCCTTCCAGCCTCTGTCCCACTGCCCCTTACCTCCAGTCTCCACTGCTTCTCACTGCCACCCTGGCTTTCTTCCCTGGCTCCACCACCCACTCCACTGTCTCCAGCCCTGGCTTTTTCCCCTCTCTTCTGCCTGGGCCCCAAGTGACCCCAAGTAACCCTGGGGCACGTTGACCCCAAGTAACCCCAGCACCATGACCCTGAGTAACCTCAGGGCTCTGTAACCCTGACTAACCCTGGAGCACAGTGACCCCAAGTAACTCCACGTGCCCCCTAGTGTTAACACGCACAGACACTGAAGTGCATGTTTGTGTGTGTATATGTGTATGTGTGTGTGGATCCAGTGTTGATTGTGCAGTTTGTACGTGTATGATTTTGTGCTCCTGCCTAACAGTGCAATATTGAGATCCCGAGCATTGATTTGATGTGTGTCAAGTCAACACCAGTATATTAAATGCAAGGGGCAGTGGCTCTGTTTTGAAAGGTGTGCTGGAGAGGGCTCTGCATGATCCTTACCTGTAGTATTGTGGTTCAAGTGCTGTGCTGAATTAACTCAGGAACGCAGGCTCAAAACCCCTCTGGGTGAGAGGGAGCCTATGCTGGCTATGAGAAGCTGTGAGTGCTTAGAACAGTGTCTCTTGCACAAAAATGCAAGACAGTGACTGGGGCAAGACTGGGTTGTGGTAACAAGCCTGCCAGAAAGAATATTAAACTCTGCTAATGGTTTGCAACCCATTAGGCATAAGAGAGTAGAGGTTGTGGAACTCAATGCCAGACTCATACCATAAAATAAGAAGAGGGATGGTTTCTCTTAAAAGAAAATTGTTGGCAGAGATCGGACACGCTCATTACATGTGTATCTCCAAGCTAAGAAAGCCAGAGAGAAGGCTGAGTCAGTGTAACTAAAGAAGGCAAGGACACTACGTATGCGTTTCAATTTAACTGGCAACTAAAGAAAACAAAAGATTTAAATATACATTTCAAGCAAAACCTGTAAAAGGTACACTGAATACAGGGAAAATGTCCTATACATGACATCCTCACATCTCTCAAAACAGGCATCCAATGTCTAAGGTGTTACAAATGACTCAATCATTTAATGTATGTCTAGAGTTTTGTAAATAGACCGTCTCTGGTACAAGATATTGCAAATTTCCCCATTGATAAACAAATACCCAAAGACAGGTCTGGTAAACAATGCCTCTAAGAGTTCTGTTTGACCACTCAACATCAAATTGCTGAGCTAGTCAGGAGCTGTGAGAAACACAAGTCTTCACATATAAATAAATCTAAAAAGGGGAGCCAAGCAATTTAACAATTGTAATATGATGCTCACCCTTTTCCTCCCTGTTTTGTTCAGACTTTAATCGGTCAACCATCAAGGAAAAATGCTTTGAAGCTATACAATTAAACAATATAAAGCAAGACAGAACTGCCAGCAAGGTTTGCAGTCCAGGAAAGATCAAAAAGCCTACTGCACCCAGCCCACGAGTAAAGGCTGGAAGACTGGATTATTTTCCCTGTCTGCATTGGTGAGAAAACAGTGTTACAGCTAAGATAATACAAGGACTAACAGCTCATTTTATATTGAGAAAGAGTCTTTTTCTGTCATTTAGTTTTGTAGTTTGTTGGTTGTTATTAAAGCAAGCCTTTCTGCTATTCATCAACCAAGTGTTGTGTCAATCCTTAGAGCACTAGTTTTAGAAATTCAGTTTTTAAGTGCAACAGCCTAGAGCCTGTCTCCAGCTACCCAGGTGAGTGCCCTGTCCACGCAGCCATTGGAGCTAAAACATGGCTGAATCCCACTCCACTGTGTTGCTTGGCATTATGTGCATATGTTGCTGTCTTTACCTGTCGGGTCACATGTCCAGGAATAGAATCTGTACCTGTACCAAACTGCCACTTAGACAACTAAAAAAAATAGAATCTCCTCTGGGGGCCAAGGTGACCAGAGAAGAAAATTCACTTATTTTCCCCCTAGGGCTCTGTGCATTGTAATTGTGCTACATGCTCAGTGACAGATGCTAGGTACACACATAAGCCAGACAAAAGAGAGAGATACAGCAATGCAACTGCTGCCCACTCTGACAGACATCTCCCACCACAGAAGCAACATTTTGACACACAATACCTCCACGTGCCCCTCCTCTGGTCCCATCTTGATTACGGAAGATGCATATTGCTCCTTAACATAGAGACCAACACCCCCCTCTTTTTTCCCTATTCTGTCACATCTGTACAGCGTATAGCCCTCAATGCTTACTGCCCAACTGTGAGTAGGGTCCCACCAGATTTCAGTTAGCCCCTCCCCGCCCCCCCAATGGGTGTTCTTGGTGCCCCTCTGTCCCCAATGCCCATCGGGCCCCTTAGTGCTTATGTGGGCTGTTCCAGCACATGACTCATGGTTTGTTGATCCTAGGTTCTCTCTGTTGTCTGCATCCCCGTCCCACGACGAATCTAGTTTAAAGCCCCATGTAGGAGATCAGCCAACCTGTAAGAGAACAGACTTTTACCTTCTGAAGAGAGATGAAGACCATATCCCAGGATGCCCCTCTTGTGGAAGTGCAGATCATGGTCAAAGAAGCCAAAACCCACTTGATGACACTTACTATTCCTAAATCAATTATAGAGAGAAAATTTTTCGATTCAGAATTTCTCCCACGTTTTACTCACCTGCCATGAGTTGATGGGAGTTTATTTTCAGAAAAGAACATGCGGGTTACTCTGTGCTGTTGTCACAGTTGAAAATTAATCTCAATATTTACTTTCTTAGTCCATCTCTGTGACCAGAGATCTGCTCACTTCACAACAGGTAACATGGTTCAGGGCATTCATGTACACATCTTATTTATAACTTCATCACCACACTTTAAACCCACACAAAAAGGGAATTACTAAGGAAACAGCTTCTTTGTCCAACAGGACTCTTCCCCCACTTCGGGTAGAGTAACGTCAAAAAAAGTCTTTACAGTCCCATTATGTAATTATTAATTTCTAACAAAGTCTCTAATTGCTTCTTGTTACCTGATCTGGAGTTCACCAAAACTCTTCCTAATTTGCAGGCAACTTCTATATCTTTGATACCTGCTTCTTGAGGGGTGTTACTCTCCGTCACTATCGTGCCTCCGCATGAAAATCCACACTTGGTAAGTCACCACGGTTCTAGTTCCCCCTTCCGGGGGTTTACTGTTCTTTCGTCATTCCTTTTATCCTTTTGTCATTTCTGCTTCTCAACTAACAGTGCTTCCTGTCTTCCAGGTGCGGTGAACGCTCCAGACGCTGGCTGATGACATCAGCATTTTCTGCCACCTCACCTCCAGTATGGTAAGTTTCTTCCTTCACTTGTCTCAGTAACAGGGCCAACAGCTCCCTGCTACAGACACCAACTCCAGAGCCGCAGGTTGACTTCTGTGATGCAGGTGGTGTGATGCTGACCACGACTGCTGACCAGGAGGATCAATAAGAAGACCACCTGTGCCCCCGTCTTCCTAAGCCTGGCCCACAGAGCCCTGTAGTCACTCATGATATGGTTCGGACTACTCCTGGCTGCATCATGCCCACGTAGATGAGGACCATGGGATAGTAGTTGGAGGGCCAGATGAGGTCTCTCAGTGGTGTCCCTGATCTGAGCTCCAGGCAGGCAGCACATCTCCCATGCCATGGGATCCAGGCAACAGATGGGACCTTGCCTTCCTCTCGGGAGGGAGTCACCCACCATGATCACTCAGCATCTCTTCCTTTGGCTGTCTGGCTGACCCTCAGCCTGCATGGTGGTGGTTGTGACTGTGGCTTCCTTTACTGTACTCTCAAACTTGAGACTTGCTTCTTGTTCTGTCATCTGCCACCACTAAGAACAGTTTAGCTTCATCCTCCTTCAAGGCCCCTTCAGCTAGTTGAAGGCTGCTATTAAACCTCCTCTCAGTCTTTTCTTCTCTAGACTTCACCCAAGACTTGACAGAGGGAGTTCAGGGTGTGTATACCAAGCACATGGGATGGGATTTCTGAGCACTGTGGAGTCAAATCCCTTTGTGGAATCTTGCTAAATTCTTGGCCTCAGTAACTCCTTGTGGCTGTGCGTTCCACCATATAATACACACATGAAGAAGAATTTTCTACTAATAGCTTCTCCCATTCTTTCTAAATGTCCCCTTGCTCTGCATGAGCAGAGGATAATTGCCATCAGAGCTTCCACAAGCTCAGAGTGCATGGGGTCCGCACTGGTACACCGGGGCCAGAGCTGGTGGAGCCCAGAGCAGGGTGGCAGGAGTGTGGTGCCAAGGCCGGCAGGGGCTCTGGAGCTGGGGCAGCTCCCCTGCAGCCTGCTGGTGCAGCCCGGCCTGGTCCCATAGAGCCCCTGCTGGTCCCCCCCCCGCACTCCTGCTGCCCCACTCTGGAGCCCTCCAGTACTAGCCCTGGTGCACTGCATGGGCCCTGCACTTCCACCCAGCTGCACTCCCCATTCCGGTTCGCTCCCAGTCCCTCTTGCTGCAGCCATTTGCAATGCTGCCACCGCTCACCTCCACCCCCTCCCAGTTGTTCTGGCACCATGTGGTTCCCAGCTGAAGTGCTGGGCCACAGTATGCAGCAAAAGCTGGCCTGGCCCCTGTGAGTCTCAGCTGGTTCCATGCGGTGCCGGCTGGGCTGGTCCAGCTCCTGCTGCATCATGTGGTCTCTGCTGTGCAGCTGGGGTGTGGTGCCGGAGCAGCCAACTGGGGCAGGGGATGGGGAAGTGGCAGAAAGGCAGTGGTGGCAGACTGGGGGGAATGGCTGTGAGCAGCAGTACGGAGCCATGCTGGTGCCCCAGGGGCAGGAGCAGGAGGAGTACGGAGCCTGGACTTGGAGGAGCACTGGTGGGGACTCTGCCTGCCATGGGGCGGCTGTGGGCAAACCCTCCCCCTCACACATGCTGGAGTGCCTGGCTGGCTGCAAACCCCCGCGGCTCTCAACCAGCTGCAAATTCCCCTTCCCAGCCTGAGTCCCCAACTGGGGAGTGCCCAAGCTAGCTGGGGGCTGAGGAAGCGGGGAGGCTGCAACCTCTCTGCCCCTCAGCTGGAGTGCCTAGGGGGCTGCAACCCCCACACCCCCGCTCCTGGCCAGAGTGCTCAAGCCAGCTGGGGGCTGAGGGAGCAGGGAGGTTTGCATCTGGCTGGCCACTCCGGCCAGGAGGCAGGGGGGTTGCAGCCTCCCCGCTCCCTCAGCCCCCAGCCAGATTGGGCACTCTCTGGCCGGGAGTGGGGGGAGGTTGCAGCCAGCTGGGCGCTCCAGCTGGGAGCAGGGAGGCTGCAAACCCTGCCCCCACCTCCCGGCTAGAGTGCCTGGCCAGCTGCAAACCCTTGGTCACAAATGCTGTGCTCCCCGCCCTGCTGCCCTCTCCCTGGCCCTCTGGATCGCAGCATGTGCGACTGGCATGGCAAGGCCAGGAAAGCTGCCCTGGCCACACTTCCTCTGCATGGGGGCAGTGCAGAGTTACGCCCCTCACTGCTGCCCCTGCCTGCAGGGGAAGCTTGGTCAGGGCAGTGCGGAGCTTGCAGTGGCAGGCAGCTTTCATGCACGTCCCTCTGTGCGCTGCCATGCTGGGTTGCACATGCTGCACTCCAGAGGGCAGCAGGGGGGAGCACGAACACACAATGCACACACGCCCTGGCCCCACCCCCCACAGATCTCGGGGGCGTGGGTCCCCTCTGCCCCCTGGGACTGCATCTGCAGCTGGCCCTACCTGAGCCCACAGCAGACAGCAAACAGGCAGCAGCACGGGAGCTGGCTTGTGCTCCTGGTGCAGCAGCCACTGCCTTCCGCTGGGTGCAGGGAGCTGTGGACATGGGTCCCTGGCCCCATAGCCCTGGCAGCTGGGGTCCCCTCCAGCAGAGCTGGAAGTAGGGGCTGTGGGTGAGGGGCAAGGAGCACAAGCAGGGCTGGGGAGCTGTGGGGAGGTGAGTGAGGGACACAAGCAACGCTGTAGGAAGGTTGTGGGGGGCTGTGGGGGGCATTTAATTTTCACCATGGATTTTGGGATTTTTACCAGAGAATTTGCAATTTTTTATCAGAGAATTTGTGATTTTTTTTATCACGGAAAACCAGAATCCCTGGTGATAAGGCCACAGCCTGAGGGAAAGAGGGACTAAGTAGGGGATCAAGTACAAATCAAAGCAATTTTTCAAGTACAGCTGCAGGTACAAATCAAAGTATTACTTTCTGTGGCTGTAACAAGGAAGGAGCGACTGTCACAGAGCACTTAGGTGCCCTGCTCCTTTAAAGAGTGGAAATGCTAGGGAAAGAGCCCTAGCAGTGAGTGGGGAGCCCCAGCTGCTGGTTACCAGGGCAACAGGAGTGAGATAGTGGCCCAGGTCTGCCAGTGGTCAGCTGACCGGAAGGGGCAGGGCCTGGCTCATGTATAAACCCCAGGACTGAGGCCAGGATGGTAGTTCCCTGTCAGCAGCCAAGGGGGAAGGAGCTCTGCCTGAGCAACTAAAGGGGAGAGGCCTGATGACAGGTATAGCCTCCAATACTGGTGAGGGACGGAGCATCCCTGGTGTGGCTTGAATGATGTTATAGCAGGGCGGCTTGAATTTATGTTATAGCCCGGAGCTTGTGTTTTGTTTACTGTTTAAGACTGGTGGTTTGGATGAGGCTATTAGGGGAAGGAGGAGGCCTCATAGGGGACCCATGG